GCCAGATATGTCAACGCACCGCTCTGCCCAAAGCTGTTTGTCCGTCTCGGTGCGGCCGCCGCCGACGACGACGAGGCGTCGCCGCCGTTGCCTTCGACGCTGGTCGGTGGTCGTCGGCGGTGCTCGTCGTTCGTCGTCCGTCTTGATGCGTCGTGCGTCGTCGTTCCCCGTCGGAGGATGGCGACTCTTCATCTCCTGCGCTGGAGAGGGAAGGATGGGGGAAATGCAGGAGGGGGAGGAGGAGCAGGGATGAGGGGGCGAGGGAGCAGGAGGAAGAGCGGAGGGCCGACGAGGGCGGGGAAGGAAGTGGAGGAGGAGGAGGAGGAGGAACAAGAGCAGAATGACGGGGGAAGGGGTGGAGAGAAGCACGGGTGAAGATCGGGGGGATGGACCAGGATGAGCGGGGAGGAGCGGTCCTCGTCGTCGCGGGTGGGGGGGGGGGAGGATTGGGAGGAGGAGAAGGCAGAGGGCGCGGGTGCGGGCTTTCTTTGGTGAGAGGCGGTGCGGGGTCGCCGCCCGTCGCTCTGCCCATCCTCTGTCGTATTGTCCTTTGTCCTCCTCCTCCTCCTCCTCCTCCTCCTCCTCCTCCGCCCCCGCCTCGGCGCGCCACAGCTGTCACACGCGTGATGGCGTGGCCCCTCCCCGCGCTCCCCATCCGCCTCTCCCAGCGCGTCCTCGTCCAGCCGCCCCCTCTTCACCACCCCGCCCCCCGTCCGCTCCCTGCATCTGCTGCCCGCCTGCCACCTCGGCCGTCACCCCGTCCGCGGCGCAGGCGCGCCGGGGTGAAATCGCGGACCTTCCTCTCCCTTTCTCGGCGTTAGCGCTCACCCCTCCCTCGCCCTTCTTAGTCCTAATCGCGCCTCCCCGCCTTGTCTTCTCCCTCTGCCTCCTCGTCCTCCTCCTCCTCGTGCATCCTCGCCCGCCTCCTCTTCCTCGCCCCCCCCGTGCCTCCTCCTCCTCCTTCTCCTCCTCCTTCTCCTCCTCCTCCTCCTCCTCCTCCTCCTCATGCATCCTCGCCGTGCGCGAGGCGGAGGGGGAGGGTGGTGGACGCGAAGGAGGGGAATTCGCGGCTGGGACTCATCTGTCACCACCGCCTGGGGGGGTCGATCTTCGGGGACCTCGGCAAGCGGTGGACACACACACAGACACACACAGACACACACACAGACACACACACACACAGACACACACGCACACACGCACAGACACACACACACACACACACGCACAGACACACACACACACACACACGCACACGCATGCACGTACGCACGCACAAACATAAACACACACACACGAATACACACCACATACACGTGTATATACGTGTATATGTTTCCATCTACGCACATTATATCTTTCTCTATATATATATATATATATATATATGTAGATGTGTGTGTGTGTGTGTTTGTGTGTGTGTGTGTGTGTGTTCGGGCCTGGGGTGGCCAAGCGCATCCATCTCCACCGCCTGCCGAGGTCACCGAAGAGCGACCCCCCCCCCCAGGCGGTGGTGCTGGACGACCTCCCCGCCCCGCGGCGGCCGGCCGGCGGCGGGCGCCCCGGCGCCGCGGACCTCCCCCGGGGAAGGGGGGCCCACAGGAGCGCACCCTGCCCGACTTCTGGGGCTTCCCCGACGGCGCCGTGGCGGGCGCCGCCGCGCCCCCCCGGGCGAGCCCGGAGGGCCCCCGGCGCCCGAGGCCCGAGCTCGGGGCGGCGGCAAGGCGCCAGGGACCTCCAGCGCGAAGCGAGCAACCGCAGGGGGTCCCGAAGGCTGCCCGTCCCCCCCCCGCTCAGAAAGGCCGTCGGCTGGGAATTGAACTGGTCCTGCCTCTCCTCGTCCTCACCGTCGTCCTCATCATCAGCATCATCATCAGCATCATCATCATCATCATCATTATCATCATCAGCATCATCAGCATCATCATCATCAGTATCATCATCATCATTATCATCATCATCATCATCATCATCATCATCATCATCAACATCACAACCATCATCATCTTCATTATCAGTATTATCATCACCACCACAACCACCACCACCATCACATCCCCGGCGCCATCACCATCACACCGTCATCATCATCATCATCATCATAATCATCATCATCATCACCATCATCATAATCATCATAATCATCATAATCATCATCATCATCATCATCATCATCATCATCAGCGTGATCATCATCAGGATCATTAGCATCAGCATCATCATCAGCAGCATTGCCATTGTCATCAGCATCACCATCACCATTACCATCACTCAGAAACAATAACCCATCACCCATCGCCCATCACCCACTACCCATCACCCATCACCCATCACCCATCACCAACCACCAACCACCATCACCATCATCACCATTGTCATCACCAAAGCTGCTTTTGCTTAGGCACGTGCCTCTCCGTGCAGCCTCCTTCGCGCGCTTGCGCCCTACACCTCAACCCCCCCCCTCCTCTCCACGCCATTCTACCATGGTGGTCGCTGCGAGGCTTCGGTGGCTCCGCGAGCAGGTGCTCACTGGGGTCCAGGCGCGCATCTCTGTCCTCTCAGCTGCCGTCCCGCACAGGATCAAGATCAAGGTGGTGCTCGACCTTGCGGCAGCGCTTACCTCACCTTCGGCTCGGGCGCTTCTCCTCTACACGATCGTTGTGTTTGATCGCATGGTGGGCATGCTGGTCGCGGTGGATCGGGGGCAGAGGCACTCGTATGGGAAGAAGGAGGCTTGCATCTGGCGGTCTTCACCTCACCTCCTGACTACGTGGTGGTTCAGGCGATGGTTCCGGGCCTCCAGATGATAAGGGTCCTGTCGATGATGACGTTGATGGTGGAGGCGGGGGTGACGGTGGCGGACCTCGGTGGCGTCGGCTTGGCGTTCGGGGTGCCACAAGCGATCCATGGCCCGACCTTGATTGTGATCAGTGGGCAACAGCTGCTTGACAGGGAGGTGGTGGTCCGCCGCACAAAGCTCCTCGGCGTCGTGGCATTCAATTCCCAAAAGTGCCGAAGTCACCGTTCAACGCGGACGCGAAGGTCTTTGTCCCGACTCCAGGCGTTCTGCCTGCTGGGGCCGATTTTTGTCGCGTTGATCAGCATATTGCCCCTTGTTGCGTTGCTGGGCAGGGCCCTGAAACTAATCAGGGCGAGGGGGGCCTCGATCTTACTTTGGGCGACGGGTGTCCGTGAGGATTCGGTGATGATGCCGCGATGAAGCTGGGATGACATGGTTGATTGGACAATTTATGAGAATGATGACGAGCAGGCAAGTATCAAGGATGTGGCTACGCAGGCAAATCTTCGTGCCGACCTGGCTCCTCGCCCTGCTCCTTGTCTTCTTGGTGTGCGGTCTGTTGAGGTGTCCAGTGGGGTAAGTAGCTGGGTCGCTGAGATCCAGGACGCCATTGACCAGACTATAGCGAAGTTGACAGTTGCATGTGGGAGCTCACGTTCTAGGCTTGGCGCTGGTCCTGGTACACGGCCTCGTCTGCCTTCACGGGCCTTTCTTCCTGATTCAGGCGGGGATGATTATGGCTTCGTCTGGCTGCAGCACCAGAGTATCGATTAAGCGTTTTCAAGAATATCCTGCGCCGCTTCGTCGACGGCGCAGCCTGCATGAGTGGGCTGAGTACCCGCGTCGATTGTGGCCGAGCGTGGCGGACGCCAGTTCGTCGGATCTATATTGGGGCGTTGCTGCGCAGCGGGTGCATGCCGCAGCTTGCCGCCAGGAGCACGGTTCATCGCGTCTTGCATTGGTGGGCGCCCATTGAGGTATTTCAAAAAAGCTCGCTTTCCGGAATAGGAGGTTTTCGTGAGTCATTTCAAACATGCTCGTTTTCCTGCATTGGTGGATGCATTTTGACAAGTGTATTCCGAACACGTTCCCCAGCGGGCCTTGGTGTGTGCCCTCTGATATGCGTCAAACATGTACGCCCTCCGGCATTGGAATCTTTGTATATATAGATATACATACATACATGTATACATAAATACGTGTGCGCTCACATATTTATATATATGTATATCAGACGCGCTCGCCTATATGCAGTGGTGGGTGGCCCCAGATGTACTTCAAAAGGGCTTGCCTTCCTGCATTGGTGAATGTTTTTTGTACGGAGAGGTGACGGTGCCGTTCGCAGCAATTCCTTGGACATGGGTGTGTCCTGGGACTGAGTACGGGGTGGTGTTCGAGCCACTCGCAGCAATGTCTACGGCGTGGAGGCGTCTTGGGACTGAGTACGGGGTGGTGGTTGGGCTACTCACGTGGGCAACTCACTCGCCGTGGGCCCGATTCCCTTGTCGGGGCACCCGGACACCTGCGGATCGGTGGCTGCCTTCTGTCGGAAAAGAATCTCCATCGTCATCGCCAGCAGGGGTGTTTATCCCTTCGATCGTCAGGGGCGGCCGTTGCGGGGGAACCCGCAAGCTTCCTATGTTCGCTGGGGGCCCCGATCCGTCAACAAGCCCGTTCAAACAAAGTCAGTGGTTTCCCATGGTTGTGTTTGTTTTGGTTTCAAGGGAACAAACCCAAGCAACGCCAACAGCACCAACGACAATCATATTACGTATGAGCGTTCGGTCTTATATGTTCGCTTGCCATTCGAAGCGCATGTCCCGCACCTCCGCTACCCGCCTCCTTCGTCTTTGATCGCTCACCGATTGAGGGTTGATCTGTCTCGCCTGTAGCGCGTATTTTGCGGAGCTCCGAAGGCAGGGGAAGAGAAGACGGATGGAAAGAAGGAGCATGGTGCAGGCGGGTCGCTGTAACGTGTTTCGTGGATGAATCGCGAGGAAGTGTCGAGCGATAGCGCGGCCCCCAGGTAACTAGCGATGACATCGACGCCGTGATCGTGATTCCTGCGTGTCGGGGTTGCGGCGTTTGAAAGCATTTCGGGGAAATCCCACGCGAGTGCGCGATGCCTGTGCAAATTGTGAGGAAGTTCCGGGCGAAAATGCGATTAGGGAGTACACTATAAGGCAGTCTCAGGCGGGAACCGTTGCTGCTGTAGTTCGGGCCCCAACTGCGCAGTTTGGTGACCGTCCGTTTCCTCTTGGCAAAACAGAGTACGAACCCCGGGGCAAAACGGACAAATCTTACCAGGCAGGGGGGGGTCAGCAACAAATGCGTTTGTAAATCGAGAGTTTACCGATACGACCGACAACAACAACAGCAAGAACAACATCACCATAAAGAGCAGCAACATCAACAACAGTTACTACCACAATGACTGTCACAAAGAGCAACACCGACAACCATAACAACAATACCAGCAGTGCCAGCAACATCATCAACAACAGTAGCAACAGCAACACATACAGAAGCATCAACAACCACAACCACAACAGCAGCAGCATCAGCAACAACCGCAACAGTAACCCTGCAATCGAGGTTGATGTTTACGGCGGCCCTGCCAAATCAAAAGGGTTCGCGATTTGTGCCTTCACACTCTTGTGGCACCGTGACCCTCGGAAGGGTTTTCTGTCTTCTCCCATGTTCTCTCAGATTCACCTCGGCTGCACCCTCGCCGATCAACGGTTCAGGCGACCAGGGGAATCAGTGGTTGGTGGGGGTAGGGCCCGCATGTTGCCACCCAGAAGTTCAAGACGAAGGCGTTTTTGAGAGTTTGCGGCGTCTGTCTCGCGGCGCCTTCGGAATTGTCAACCGAAGATTTGGGACGAACATGTGGCACTCGAGAAGTAGTGCTGAGGTCCGGGGACCCCGACTGGAAAACGAGCAGCACCGGAGGTTTGGGAATGGGTTGGGGTGGGAACAGGTGGGTCGCGGGAGTCAGCAGAGTTCTTGCATGTGGTAAGCTTCGGGAACTAAATTTTGACATCAGCATAATGCATCGGAGGTTCGCGCGGGGTTCCTCGGGTCGACGCTGGAGCCCCTGGCTGCGCCTCCGGCGCCGCCCTTGGCGCGTTCCGCGCGCCAGGGAGGGTGGTCACCGCCGATCCAAGGAGTCTGCGCGGACCTCCGAAGTTTTGTTGATGTCATTATTCGGTCCCCGACAGCTGGGCAACCTGCTCACCTCCACCCGCAGCGCTGGGTGGTGGTCGTGCTGCTTGCACGTGGCCCGTGCAGGGCTTCTCGACGGCACGTCATTGCGACGGCGTGTTTGGGGTTCTTCTCTGTTTGTTTGCAGCGTTCTGCTTCCAGGGCCCTCGCTTGGCAATGTTTGCCCACTTCGGTTTTGCTTGCGTTGTGAAAAGGAACCAGTGGGTGCGGGGTCTAATTTCAGAGGCTGCCCCCGGCGATCCTCGGTCCCTTGGTATTGGTTGGTTGTAAGGGTTGCTCGAGTTTGCCTTCCTTCCTATGGTTCACTGGTGCTGTTCTTTGGCTTCCCTGGCCTTGGCAAAGCCAAGCTTTGCCGAGCCATGCCAGGGAATGCCAAGCACTGCCAGACAATGCCAACCAACGCCAAACAATGCAGAACAACGTCAATGCCAAGCACTGCTTTTCTTACATAACTTGAAACTTTCCCCTGATTGGGGTCGCGCCAGGTCCATGTTGCTTGCAATGTTATGATTCGGCGGCCCTCTGCGGGCAAAGGGACCTTCACCTACATATCTCAGGACGGAATGTGGGTCCCAGAGAAAGGGTACACTTGTATGTGTGTGTGGGTGGGGGGCACGCTGCCTTGTTACAAGCGCAAAGCGCGTATGAATATTCATATGTGTTGATGTGTAGTCTACGTGGGTTATCGATTAAGTGTGTACATTTGTATTAGACAACCAGTTTATTTATATCTAGACAGATCGCAGCTGGAATACTTAAGCATATAAATAATATGACATGTGTTCTCGCACCGCGCAGTTCAAACACAGGTAATGCAAGCACCTGCGTGTTGATGACGTGCAGGCGCTCGCGCGCCAATCAACACCGCATGCCCGAGGACGCAATAATCTTGGCACGTTGCAGGTAGTCGTGCTGGGAGAGACGATTGCACCTATCTTGATGGGAACGCGATGTTCGCCAATGAATCAGGACAAACCGATGACCTGCTCGCGCGCCACACGCTGTTCAGAGCCCGTCGCATGTAGTGAGATGTGTGTTGAGATCATGTGAACAGGTAGTATCGCACAAGAGTTCACCCCCCATCAGTTCCCGCCTCACCAGCATGCCTTTTTCAACAGGATTTGCCCTGAGGTCTGGAGGCCATGTAACACCATCAAGTGCACGATACTCCAACATATACAATTTTTGTGTCGGCTCGTTCCGGTGGGGAACTCTCCAGAGTCGGGTGATGCATGTTGAGGTTATTTGGATGTTCCCGAAGGTCTTTGGCCGCCTCCAGAGCCCCCGACGGAGAACAGAAAGCGTCGTCGATACTCCCAGTTTATGATCGCCCGATGTCCCCCTCATTCGCACCACATGGGTGAGTAGAGCTCCACCTAGTTTTTGTTGGGGAGGTTGTGCCGGAGCCACGCCGTGAACTCGGCGTCACCCCGCCATGCTGATGCCATGTGTGCGTCGCCCCCCCCCGTGGACACGAGCGCGCCGAGAAAAATCTTAGAGTAGAACCTCCGTGGCGTGGCGGGCGCTTTCTGGCCACGGCGCTATACTACAGGACGTGTGTCGCATATGTCCGGGCCAGACTCACACACCAGAAGAGGGCACATCGTACCAGTATGGTCGGGTATGGCCAGGACCCCGGGTAAGGGGACCCGGTTAGTGGTAGGGCCCCGGAGCCTTCGGATTGGCCAGAATCACTAAACCAGGTTTGCCATAGCTGGTGTTTTTTCGGGTGACGGCAGTTCCGGTTAGTGGGAATGGGACGGGGGGGCGCCCCCGGTACAGATCGTTTCACCAGGTTCTTTTAAACCCAGTTCTACCAACGCCCGATATGTCCTTGCGCGCCCCACGAACGACCAGCCAAGCCTCCCGAGCTCGGGCCGTGGCACCCGGCCCTCCCGCTGCCGACTGGAGTGCCGGGCGGGGGCGCGCAGACGACCCGCGCGCGCGGGGAAAAGTTTCGCTCCCGCTCTTCTGGGTCTTCCTCCCTTCTCCTTCTCGTCCTCGTCCTCGTCCTCCTCGTCCTCCTCGCCCTCCTCGCTTCCTCCTCTTCCTCCTCTTCGTCGCCATCCTCGCCCTCCTCGCCCTCCTCGCTCTCCTCGCCCTCTTCCTCCTCGCCCTCCTCGCCCTCCTCGCCCTCCTTCTCGGCCTGTCCTGCCCCCCCCCCTCCTTCCCTGTCCCCTGGTGGCCACGCATCGGCGACGTGGTGGTCGTGGTGCATGTTGTTCTGCTCGGGAGTTGCTTCCCCTATGCAGTGACCACCACAACCCTGATTCCAGACTGCTCATGCCCTTTTCTTTGTGCCTGCCTGCGAAGGGCAAGGGGGTCCTGGATGGAGGGGGCTGTGCTAGTCTTTTTTCAACTTTTTCTGTTTTCGGACTCCAGGGTCCCAGCACCGTCAGAGCAAGCTCAAGTCCAAACGGGTCCCGAGGATGGCTTGGGCGCCGGCGACCCGCCTGAACCAAATCCGTATCTTTCATACCAAGTGTATCTTTTGCTATCCACGTCGTGCGTCGTGTGTCTTCCCATGTCCGCGGGCGCGTATGGGTATGCAGCCGACTCGACGGCTAAACTAGAACTGTGGCAGTTCTGGAGGGGAACCCTTCTATTGGGGATGCAAGTCCTGGGAGGTAAGAGTCGGTATCGGCGGTGGTAGATATGTGTTCGTTTGTGTGTGTGTGTTCGTTGTGTGTGTGTGTGTGCGTGCGTGGGTGTGTGCGTGCGTGCGTGCGTGCGTGCGTGCGTGCGTGCGTGTGTGCGTGCGTGCGTGCGTGCGTGCGTGCGTGTGTGCGTGCGTGCGTGCGTGCGTGCGTGCGTGCCTGTGTGTGTTTGTGTGTACGCGCGGATATTCGAGTGTGGAGCGATGTGATCCCTAAGCCGCCCGCTCCGTCCCCATGTTCCTTTGGCCGCGTCCTCCCCTGGCTCCTCTCGCACGGTGGCACAGTTTACTCTCACGGCATCCCCGTGTATTTTTTCTTCGCCAGCGCAGTCGCCTTCTGCCTAGCCGCCTGTGTGTGTGTTTGTGTGTTTGTGTTTGTGTTTGTGTGTGATGGTATGTGATGGTGTGTGTGTGTGTGTTTGTGTACGTGTGTGTGTGTGTGTTTCTGTGTTTCTGTGTGTCTTTGTGCCTCTGTGTCTCTGTGTGTGCGTTGTGTGTGTGCATGGCTGCAGAGGCGGACAGGTTTGCGGCCCTCCCGCGGCGCGGGCCCGCGCCCGGCGGGGGCGCGGCTCATGGCCCGCGGCGGGCTGGGCGCGGCCGCCGCGGCGGCGGCCGGAGCCCCCGCGGCGGGCACATGGCCTTCGTGGCCTCGGGCGCGTGCCCGCAGGGCCCGGGGGAGCTGCGAGACTGCGTGGCGCCGCGGCTTCCTAATATGTCAACGGAGGAGCAGGGGGCTCGGAGGAGGACGAGGTGCCCACACCGCTGCCCTTCCCGTGTGTTTTTATTTTTTTTGGGGGGGGGAGCGCCTCCCGCGAGGCTCTCGTCGCCGCCGCTGGGCTCGCCTCGAACAGTCTGGTCAGAAGTCACAACGCACCCCGAGGAGGGGTCTCGGGAGTAGGAGTATGGGTACCTTTTGGTTTCCCCAGGAGCTGCAAAACTGCGTGGCGCGGCGTTTTTTTTTCAGCAATTGAGGAGCAGGCGACTTAGATGCTCCTTTTTCGGAGACCTTCCTGGGACCCAGCCAACGGATCTCTTCGACTAAAAAGTTCGACTCTGGTCAAGTTCGATTCAGGCTCGACTCAAGTTCGACTCAGGTTCTGGGCCTCCTAGATGGGGTCAGAGTAGATGGGGTCTGATGGTCGCGCCGCCTCGCCGATGCATCGGCCATGCGACTGGATGCGGTGCCCGATTTGCTTCACGCCAGCGTCGCCCATGCACCGCGGACGTCGCCAGTACATCCCCGATGCATCGGCGATGCGGCGAGATCCTTCGACCCCATCTACTCCGACCCCATCTGGGAGGCCTCTAGTTGTTCGATTGAGGAGCAGGAGGCTACATGAACATGAACATTCGGAGCTCCGCGAGGATCTCTTGGATCTGCGCTGGGCTGTCCTGGCGGCGCCTCTGGCACCGCCCCTGGCGCGCTCCGCGCGTCGTGGACGGTGGTCCAGCGCCGATTCAAGAAATCCGGGTCGAGGGTGAGGGGTGTAATCGTTTGGATTGTGCACCGTTGCGTGCAATCGAATGCACGTATCGTGGGGTCGTGCGAACTTTTGCAAAGCTTCACCATCGCATCCACACGCACTTCCTGCATCCAGGCATCCACTACTGAAAGTACCATTGCATCTCTCCGCGCGGACCCACTCTTGTCAGACCCAATGCTCCGGCTGGAATGCGAAGCGCTTTGATTTGATGAAAGGGCCCCTACAGAATTGACTAGGAATCGTTGGTTTGTTGCATGAATTTTTGTGTTGAACAGTTCTCGCCAAGGCTGTATTGTTTCAAGCCATGTGTTGGGGTTCGAATGACGCCGTCTTTGTTACAATCTTCGTGGGTCTGAGAAGCTATCGTGGTTGGACTACGGGAAGCCGGGGCAGGCGTTCTCTGATCAATTTTCGGTACGATCGGAATGTGTATGGATGTATTCGGTTTTCGGTTGGGTTGTGTTGCTTCTTGGAGGCTTTCTCATCCCCGGATGCTTTCCAGCAGCTGCGCCTCGCCGAGAGCATTCCATGGGTGCCCAGGCCGTCCGAATGTATGGCACGAGGCATGCCTCGAACAGCACCTGCTCCTCCTTCGGACAAAGTGGGGACCATGATTCAGAGCCCCGAGTCATCAGGGGTAACTCGGGCCAGGGTTAACTCGGGTTCGTTTTTCGGGAATCCAAACCCGAGTTACCCCGGACCCGAGTTACCCCGGATAACTCGGGCGTCCAGAGCCCCAGATTATCAGGGGTAACTCGGGTCAGGGCTAACTCGGGTTCCTTTTTCGGGAATCCAAACCCGAGTTACCCCCGGCCCGAGTTATCCCGGATAACTCGGGCGCCCAAATGATTGACAGCAGTTCCTGCTCATTTGGAACAGGATTTGCCGTCGGTGTCATATCGTACCCCGTTTTCCCGCACCCATTTTTCGGTCAGTTCGCCGCTCCGGTCGAGGAAGCCGGAACACGGATCGGGGCGCTGGGATTGGCGACGGGCCCCGCTTCCGCGTGAGAATCGGCGCGTGCCGTCGCCAGATCAGGCGGCACAGGCTTCACATCCTGATTCGGGGATCTACTTCCCCCCCGCGCCCACGTGCGCCACACACACAAAACACACACACACACAAACACACACACAAACACACACAGACACCCGCCAATGTACAATTCTCGGGCATCAGGGGCGGGTGCAGTTGTATAAATCACCGCCAGGAGCCAGCGACTTTGCACCGCCGCCTTCCCGGAAGGCACATGCGACATTCGTCGGAGGGCGTCTGTGTATATACTTTTGTACCGTAGCTTCCTTTCATGTTTCGGGGAGCTACATGGAAGCTGGCAAAAGTGACTGGGGTCATCCCTTCCACTCTTTCCAGCCCTGGCCAGTTCCCCTTTCTTCCCCAGCCCTGGCGACCGCATCCCTACCGTGTCGGGCTCGCTTCACCCCTTGCCAGTGTCTTCAGCCCTGGCTACTTCCACCTCCACGGAGCCTCCTCCCTGTGCTTCCCCCCCCCCCCCGCGCCCACGTGCCAGATCCACAGCCAGCTCGCCTCGACGTGCTGCTCGACGCTTCGTTGGTGTGACGAGCCTGTGGATCTGCCGCGTGCCAGACCCACAGACTTGCATTCTGATGTTCCAACCTACTTTAGCCTTGATCACCATAATGAATTTCGAGCACCAAGAAAACACCCCAAAACTTGAGGGTTTTCACGTGTTGGGACCTGGGAGACACTCTTTCGACACTCTTTCGACACTTTTCTGGGTGCTCGAAATTATTTCTGGGATGTGGTCCTTAAGCACGATGGGAACAACATAAGACTTGCCCTCGAAGTGCTGGCGCGTGCCCGCTCCGGGCCGCCCGAAGAGGATATGTGCGGGCCATGGCCGGCCTCGGCTGGCCGGGCTCGACCCTCGCGCCGGGCGTCCCCCCGGCAGCATGCTGTGCCCGTGCGCTGCCGTTGGCAGGCGCGCAGTTGGTGCCCGCAGCGCCGATCACTACGGAGAGCGTTCTTGCCTCGCACTCCGGGCCACAGCGCGCGTTGAGCCCTCCTCCCTTCCCCCCTCCCCCCTCCCCCCCCCATGACGCAGCGCTCCCTCCCCTGCGTCTCCGGCACTGCCGCAGTGCGTCCGGCACGGCAGTCTGGGGGCGCTACGCCACGCCCCCTCCCGGTCGCCCCCTCCCCCCCATAACGCCCGTTATGGCCGCGAATAAAAGAAATGCAGTCAATGGTCGGATATCATGGTGCATGCACATTGTGTCGATGCACGTGTGGATTATGGCAGTGGTGCGGTGGCACACGTTCGGATTGTCTGCTGTCTCATGTAGGGCAAGTTTTGTCACCAACAGTCGGCATTAATGTGTCAGCTCATCTCGTCCGTTTCCCCTTCCACCCTTCAAGGTGCAATTTATCTGCAGCCAGTCGACCGCCTTCCCGCTCAGCGTTGTTGGGCTCAACGCGGATTTACGACGTGCGATCCGTTGGGGAGTGATGCGGGGGGAATGGGATGTACAGCAGAGAAGGGGAAGTCGTTATGCTGGTTCATTGATCGCTTGTGCTACCATTCGAAAGGCCCTGTCTTGACGGCCGTTGTTTAGAGGCCCGGACTAGTCACAACGGAAATCGCATAGACGTAACGGTCGTTTCACCCTTTCTTTATCTTCCGCTGCCGTAGACGGATTGGTTCAAGAACCCGCGTCGTGTTTATGCCTTGTACCTTCTGCACCTGCGCCCACAAGCTACGAAGGTCTTGCGCGCATGAGTGGGACCAGTTTCCCAATGCGACCAGTCTTTCATCGGCCACTGAGATGCCTAAGCTCCTGGCCGTTGTCCAGCCTGTTCCAGGCGTCGCTTTCGGCGTTGGTTGATGCGGCGGTGTGAAGTGCTGCTCGACCCTCGGGTGGCACCGCTGCCAGGTCGAGCAGCGCTGCCAGGGCTGGGTGAGGGCCACCTGTCTGGAATGACAAATTGTACAGAGCATTGGCACGCGTGTCGTCTCAAAGTTCGCGTGCCCCTCCGTCGCAGTTCAAGAGATGTCTTGGCACTCCAGCGGTCGTACCACGCTGGTTGTGGTGGCGATAGGCTGTGGACTCGTACGCGCAGACCTCTGGGCGCAGCTCGGGCTCGGCTTGCATTGCACGACCGTGGCCTACAACGTGCACGTGGCCTCGCTCCGTGCTTTCCTCCTGCGGTTCCAGGTCTTACCGTTGGACTGCGAACGCACTGAGGCAGCAGCCATCCGTCGATCGATCCAGGCCCCGCGCATTTGAATCTCCCCGCTGACCTGCGAGCCCTTCGGCGACATTGCGCCATGCCGCAAGGGTTTCCAGACATGCGCGCGGTTTCCTTGGTCGGTCTTTCTCGCGTCGCTCACCGGGAGGCTGCTGCTGTCGGCGGTTGGGGCGTGGCCTCGTTGGCCCGCCGCCTTGACAGCTTGATCGTGGACACGGGTTTTTTCTGGCGATCTGTTTGCTTGCGTTATTGCTTCCAGGTTGCCCATGCATGCCCGCAAGTTGTCCACGGCAGTGTCCGCGTTCCAACGCGCAGGCGTCACCATTCACGCTGCGGAGGCAGGCCTGAGAGCTGACGTCCCGCGCCCTTCCATTCGTGGGCAAGCCCATCGGCTCGCCTCCAGCGTGCAGCGAGCGGCTCGGGCAGCGCGGTCGTCCCGCAGGATGCGCAGCCACCCTGGGCCGAAACCCTTGGCGAAGTCCGCCAGGCGGCGGCTCCTGCCGATATGTCCGCGGTTGCGGGCCACTCGCGGGTCTGCAGAGCTGCGGCGTCTGGCCCGCCTGGTGACGCTTCGCGTGGTCGCCGCAGTGCACGGCTGGTGGACGGCCCGCCGTTTCCTAGCAAATGGGCGTTGCTTTCCCAGTTGCTCCACGATGCGAGGCGCTGCGTCCCACTGCATGGGATGTCCCTACATCGTCGCGGCCAGCTTCGGTTCCGATCCCATGCTGCTCCAATGTTCGATGTGCACGGCCTGCGTTACTTCTTCTCGCGGGCTCCCACGGCTTCCCAGACGTGATCTTCACCTGGCGGGCCTTCGTGTTCGTTGCATTCCGGTTCGGGTCCTGAGGCGTTCTGGGCCGAGGCCATGGATCGGGGACGCATCCGCGCGCCCCCCAACCAGAAATCCAAGAAGGTCGGGTCGCCGGCGCAGAGAGTCGCCGCCAGCGACGGCGTCGTCTAGGCGGCTGTTTCCAAGACCCCCAGCAGAGCAAGACTGGCCGCGGCCTACTGCTCCTGGGCCAAACAGACCTTCGCTGGTCAGATGGGCCTCGCACTGCTCATGTCGGCCATGGGCTTCCACGGACGGGGCGCCCCTCGATCGGGACCTGGGCCAGGGTGCCACGGCCCAGCGCGGCTGACATATCCACGGCGAGGAGATCCTGCAAGGTGGGCTTGACTGCCCAGCGGTAACCCATCCGCGACCACTGCGGGGCAAGTGGGCCGCTTCAAGTTGGGCGGAAGAAACGACGACCTGCAGGCCAACCCCTGCCCAGAAGCGCGAGGATCATCGACCTTTCCTTGCCCGCGAGGCACGGGCCGTGGCCTGGCGGTTCCGGATGGGGCTAGCATTTAGTGATAGAGCACCCCAGGGCCTCAGAGGTCATGGGCCAACCTGAGGGGCCGAGGCCAGCCAGTTGATGGGCCGTGTTGCGTTCAGGGCCGACCTCTCAACGGCTGTCAGTTGGGGCGCAAGGATGGCGAGAACGGCTTGCCCTGCGCGAGTCCCATGGGGTTATACACGCGTTGCCGTGGAATCCGCGATCGGCGCCCTTGAAGGGGCCAGCTGTGTGAGATGCCCTATGCACGAGCAGTTAAAGAGATGAGGCTGCTTCGCTTCGAGCTCCGCCCGAGCGGCGGAGTGGCCGCGCGCGCCGCGCGCGGTCGCGGCCGAGGCCGGCCCGCAGCAGGCCGTCCTTGACAAACGCCGCAGGGGCCGTCCATAAAGACATTCGCTGATGATGATGATGACGGCATCATGCTGACCCAGAAGATTGTCGTGCACCCTTTGCCGTTGCAAACGGGAGGTGGAGGTGGGCTAGATGACGACGGACCGCTGATCGAGACAAGGCCAACGGCAAGAACAACCCGTCGAGCACGCACCCGGGGGCCTTGCGGCTACGCGTGGGCCCGGTGGGCATCGCGATTTCGCGCGACGCGCCGCTGCGCCGCCGGCGCCGCCAGCCGAGACGACCGCGGGGGCCATCCCATGCGATAGGTCAGAGTAGGATAGCCTAGCGGGGCAAAGCGACCATAACCGACGCTGTTGCAGCAAGCCGCGCGCAGAGATGCAGACCGACTCGACGGACGTTCTCGCGCCAAGTCGCAGCGGGCGCCCTGGGTTTCCGAGGGCGAGAGCCCGCTTCGCAAACGACCGCGCGGCCGACCTGGCTTGCGCCTTCGAGTGGAGGCGCGCAGGCTACGTCACCACGGACGCCCAGGGACTTCGCCGGTCCAATGTCGTGAGACGCATCGCGAAGGATACCGCGAAAGGCGAAGTATTCCGGGGATTGACGTCCGAGGCCTGCCGCCAGGACGCCGCAGGAAGCGACCAGCTCCGACTACCATTGAACACCTCCACACAGCCAGTCTTCGCGCGCAGTGACGATGTCAGGGCCAACGTCCGCGCGGAGCATGCCTACCTGGCGCAAGGAGCATCTCGAACTGGGGTCACACTGCAGGGCCCTGCCACGGGCATGGAAGCAAGTTAGACATGGCCATGGAGACGGATTTGCGTAGCTGTCTCGAGTTCCAGGCAGCGGAGGTACTGAGCAACCACCAGGCCAATGAGCTCATCGAGAAGGGACTCCACCGCATTGGTGCGGGATAGGCCCACACCGACAACAAGGCCGAAGCTGGCAGACCTCGCCAGACGTAGGAACGACGTCACCTTCGCCGCCAAGCGCAGATTTACATTGCGAGGATGTAGCGAACACGGCATGGGCACGCGAGTGCAGGTGCCCATTGCCAGCCGAAAAAAAGGGCGCTGCGAGCTACTCGGCTTCTCAGCGACGGAAGGCGGCCGTGGCCGACGCGGCGACCGCATGCTTTCAGTCGAAGGGTGCCCCGCGAATGCTTCTCCTTGTGGCCTCGCGGCCCCGCCGCCCAGATTGCCCGATGGGAGCTCTCGCGCGTGCACGAGGCGCCGCCTGCGGCTCGATGGGCGCCATCCGCCAGCCGCCAGCGGCGGCTACACCTACGCGCCATGCTGGTCGAGCGCGGCTTGAAGGAGCCACCCCGCGAGATTTGCCGTGTCACCCTGAGGGGCAAGGCAGCCCTGATGATCGTTTGGCTCTTCGCCCGCGGCCGCGAGTTCGACGCGGTCATAGACGCAATCAAGCGCGATTTTCGCCGACTCGTCAAGCGCGGGGCATGGGGCCGCGGCAAGGGGCCTTTCCGGGGATGCAGCTAGGACGTCGCGATTGGACAGGCGGAGACCGTGGGCGCGCCGGAGAGCACCACCTTGGGGCCACGCGTGAGGACGCAGCCCAAACTCGCCAATCACGCCAGAGGTGGCATCAGGGCTTCACAGTTGGGTGCTTGTTTTTGTTCCCGTCGGCTGGGTTTGGCGACGGACTCGCCCACTTCGATCAGTGCAGGCTTCTTTTGAACCATGGGCTACCCGGCGACCAAGGACATTGCGAGCGCAAACGAGACCGTCAAGATGGCAGAGGAAGGCGTGATATCCCAGGCCGTGTTCACACCCGACCTCGGCTGGGAATAAGCTATGGGTTTCGATTGTGGCGGCTGCAGCCGCGGCATCCTGGGCTAGGTCGCAGCGCGGCGACTTTGCAGGCTCGGCAGAGCCGAGGCTGAGGAAAGGCGAGGCCGCTTTCACCCGCACCTTGTAGCAAGTATGCCGAGGATCGTGTCCCGCCGAGTGGACAGTACAACGGTTTGTTGACCATTGTTGAGAGTGCCGGGTGTCTCAAGCATGTGATCGACGGGATGTGGATTGCCATGACAAACAATTCGTGGACGGAAATGAGGTCGCCATCTTGGCGAGCCCGCCCCCCCCCTCCCATCCTGCTGGAAAGGTCGGATGCCAGCCGACATGCGAAAGGATGGTTATCATTGAGGCCCAGGTACATAAGGACCTCATGGGTTCCATCACGAGTAAGGGCGACCTTGGCAAGGTCGAGTAGAAGCTGGCTGCCCAGTGTAGACGCGAAGCTGATGCTGGCCAATTCTGTCGCCAAGATGGAGTCCGAGAGCGAGCGCCTTCCCGAGTGGAAGGCGACGTGCCAGTTTCGCCTGTTGCAGTTCGGCGAGATGCTGGGGCGCAATGGGGGCGATTGGACAGGCCCGCCGCGCCCGCGAGATTGAGCTGCGCCCCGCCACGCGCTCCACCGCCTCCTGGACGGAACCTTCTTTATATGGCGTTTTCTCCATCATCATAAGCGGGACTTTGCCCAGGGCGAGCCTCATGGTCACGGAGGTTTGGGTGTGGAACAGTAACGATATGATGTACAACGCTAGCACTGCGATGTCATTAGGCGCCGTGTCATGTTCAAGGAGGGCTTGACGTATCACGTTCGTGTGTTTCTTGGGGCGCCTAGATTATACCTCCATGCCTGTCCCAAGGATCCCTGCAGTTTCTGAGGGCGCATCCCGGAGATTGCCCTCGCTTTGGTCTTGGCAGCCTTGGTGTCAGAATGAGTTCGAGGATTGCCATGTGCTTATGGAGTTGCGCTCTAGCGTGCGTGCTAAAGGCGCGGCCTGGGAACATTTATGTTTATTGTTGCCCCGATTTCTGTATCAGTTCACATCCCCCCGTGAAGCCGGTCCCGATCCTCCTGGGCCTAGGGGTGTGGCGGTCTTGGATCCGGTCGGGCCCCCGTTCAGCATCCGCCGCCCCATGGGGTCCAATGTGCTTGGGCATCGTTCCCGCACGGTGTTGTCATGCATGGTTCCGCGCTGCTCGCGTTTTCGAGCATGATTCGTGTTTTTTTTGGGGGGGGGCAGACGTCGTCCCAGCGCGGCCCGGGCAACGAAGAGCGCACCAGCGCGCGCGGCGCCACATAGGGATGATGACGGGAGGACGACGGGGAGGACGGGAGGGGGGACGACAATGGCGACGAGAGGGACAGGGACGAAGACGAGGGCGCAGAGGAGGAAAAGAAAAGGAGGAAGAGGAAGAGGAAAGGCAGGCGAGGAGGAGGAAGACAAAAGAGGGAAAAAGGGAAGGCGAAGGACCACGGGATGTTGTTGCTTACCCGGCCAGTTGCGCGCCCCAGGGCAGTTTTTGATGCCCTCTGGGTTCGGCAAGGGGCATCGGAAGCCGAAGACGAAGGATGCCTGGATTGAACAAATCAGATCGTCGCAGGTTTGGGGATGACGTTTTTGCTTTTCGTTCTGAGGCGGCGGTCCAGCGCGCGAGTGCCAACCATCGAGCCGGGCGCCAGGAGGAGAGGAAGACGCGCCGGGTCGCCGTCCAAAGGAGAATCAATGTCGTATGTCGTCTCCTCCTCCTCCTCGTCCTCCTCCTCCTCCTCCTCCTCCTCCTCCTCCACCGCTTCCTCGTCCCTCGTCCTCCTCCTCCTCCTCCACCTCCTTGTCCCACTCCTCCTCCTCCTCCTCCTCCTCCTCCTCCTCCTCCTCCTCCTCCTCCTCCTCCTCCTCCTCGTCCTCCTCCTCCTCCTCCTCCTCCTCCTCCTCCTCCTCCTCCCCGTCCTCCTCCTCCCCCCTCTCCTTTCCGTCCCTGTGCCCCTCCCTCTCGGCGCCGCTGTCGTTCCTCCTCCCGCCCTCCCGCGATCCTCCCATTTCGGGGCGGCGAGGTGCGTACCAGCGCGCCGGGCGCCCCTTCTCGGAGCTGCGCGCCTTCCGCGCGGGCAGCACCGGGGAGGCCGTGCGCGCGGTAGCGGCGGCGCTGCAGGGGATGGGGCGCGGGCAGGCGCTCCAGCTCGAGGACGCAGACTCCCCGTCCCTCCTCCCCCTCCCCCTCCTCCCCCTCCTCCTCCTCCTCCTCCTCCTCCTCCTCCTCCTCCTCCTCCTCCTCCTCCTCCTCCTCCTCCTCCTCTTCCTCCTAGCCGTTCTGGGGCGAGCCAGGTGCTCGCTCTGGCGGGTGCAATCTTCAGAGCGGCGTGCCCCCGCGGGCCGATGGCGAATGGAGTTGCACGTGGCACGCGCAGTGCCAGCCAGGGTGGCGACCCCTGGACGTGCCGCTCGTGTGCTGCTGGCTACGCCAACATGGCATGGCGCACGGAGTGCAGGCTCTGCAAGGCGGCGAGGTCGCCACGCGGCGCTGGCACGACCGGCGAGGCCATCAACAAGGCCAAGGCGAAGGCCAAGGCCAAGGGGAAGGAGAAGGTCGTGGCGAACCGCGTGCGTTTCGCCTGGGACGTGCCTGGGCCTGCCTCCGCCGCGGCCACGCCGGCGCCGTGGGCGCAGGGCGCGGCCAAGCGGGAGGCGGAGGAGCGGCCCAGCGGCAGCGGCGGCAAGGGCGAGGAGGTTCGCCAGGCCCTCCTCCGCCACTTTGGCCCCAGGGAAGGCTGGTCGGCGGCCCTGGTCCAGGACTTCGGGGCCCTGGTGCCTGTGGTGGACGCGCCGCCGCCAGCGAAGCCCTTGGCCGAGCTGTCGCTCCAGGCCCTCCTGGCCAGGGAGGCGAAGATCAAGGGCCAGGTCAACCTTGCCGAAACAGCGCTGGTGGCCGTCCAGGAGGAGCAGGCGGCCGTCGCGGTCCGCGTGGCGGAGGAGGCGGACGTCCTCCAGAAGCGGCGCGACCACCTGGAGGAGGTGGCCGGGGCTGTGCGCGCGAGGAAGCGCGCTGACCTGGAGCAGCACAAGGGGCCGTCGCCCATGGAGGTGGGCGAGCCTGTGGAGGCCGAGGACGGCCTGGGCAAGGTGCTGCTCGAGGGCCTCGAGGGCTTCGAGGCGGAGCGGGAGCGGGTCCTCTTGCTCGGGGGGGAGGGTGGCGCCCTGCTCGCGATGGCCGCCGAGGCCCGCAGCCTCGTGGAGAAGCTCGCCGCCGCCGGCGCCCGTGCTCGTGAGGCAGCGGCGGCCGAGCGGGCCCGCGCTGCTGCAGCCGCGGCCGAGCGGGCCGCCGCGGCGCAGGAGGCCGCCCCCGCGGCTGATGGCAGTGATGACGGCGCTGATGGTTCTCCTGGGGACCGCAAGCGCGTCGGCGACTTCGACCTCGGCCCCGAGCTCGTCGGGCCCGACGCCGTGTTCGACGAGGTGGGCATGGAGGGCGAGCAGCGGCGCGCAGCCTGGCGCGCAGCGCTGGCCAAGCGCCAGCGGGTGGCAGGCCCCGCCTCTGGGTAGCCGCCCGCGGGCGGCTGACGTGGCGGAGCTGGTATCGGCCAACGCCGCCGCGTGGGGCTCGGCGCAGGCGCTGGTCGAGTGGCTGCACGACGACGTGGGGCGGCTGCCTGCGGTGCTCTGCCTCCATGAGCATCGCCTCAAGGGCAAGCAGGCGATGGCTCGCGCGGCGGGCTGGATGCAGGCGCGCGGCTTCAGCTGGCATGGCCAGGCAGCGCTGCCGACGGGCTCAGGGCCGCTGGAGAGCTCGGGCGGAGTGGCCGCGGCCACGCTGCGGCCGTCGGCGGCCGCCGCCGCGCCAGGGTTCCCTGCCCATCGGTTCCAGGTGTGTGAGGTGAACCTGGGTTTCAGGGAGCCGTGCCGCGTCATCTCGGCCTACTTCATCACGAAGATAGGCAGGGCGAAGGAGAACATCGGGCTCCTGGCAGCGCTGCACGAGTTCGTGGGGCAGCTGGAGTCGCCGTGGGTCGTGATGGGCGACTGGAACATGGAGCCCGTGGGCGTCCGTGAGTGGGCGCGCAGCGCAGGTGCGCTAGTGTGCCCAGAGGAGCCGACCTGCGGCTCGAAGGTCTTCGACTTCGCGGTGGTCAGCAGGGTCCTCACGGGCTTTGTGGACGTGGCCGAGGTGCTGCTGAGGGCGCCGACGATGGACCACGTGCCGTTCAAGGTGGTGCTCCGCGGCGTAGGACCAGAGGCGAAGGTGCAGCGGCCGCTCTTCCCTGCCGCCTTCCCGCTGCCGCTGCCGCCGCCAGCGCGGCCAGCGCCGCTCGAGCGCGCCTTCTCGGACTGCAGTCGATCGAGGGGGGCTGCCGGGAGTGGTTCGAGGCGGTCGAGGCCTACCTGATCGACCTCTACGAGATCGCGCCGCCCAGCCGCTGGAAGGGGCGCGCGGGCGGGCTTCGCGCGCAGAGGGTCGTGATGGAGGTGGCCTGGAAGCAGGGCTGCAAGAGGGGCGTCGGCGCTGCCTGCAGGCGCTGGATGTCGTTCGCGGCGGCATGCGCCCGCTGGCGCGCGCTGCAGGAGGCGGCGACTGGAGGGCGCTGTAGGGCGCCGCTGCGAAAGCAGCAGGAGGTGCTGATGGCGTTCGAGCTCGAGTGGCCAGAGGAGGGCCCGCTGGCAGGGCTGTCGGTGGCCCGCGCGATGAGCCCGCTCAGCTCCTCCTCGTGCCAGCTGACGGCGCAGTTCGTCCAGGAAGAGGCGAGACGGCGCTGGAGGCTGGACAAGCAGCGGAAGGCCGCGGAGTGGCGCGCCTGGGCCCAGGCCGCGGCCACCGAGAAGGGCGGCTCGGCGGCCTACCGGTTCATCAAGCAGGTCGCGGTGGTGCCCACGGAGGTGCTCTCGGGCGTGGACGGCGGCGACGACCTGCGCATGCCCGTCGCGGGCGAGGCTGCAGTGGCGGCGCTGCTGGAGACGCGGCGGCCGCTCTGGGTCAAGCCGTCGCGGGCAGGCGAGGCAGCGCCTGAGAACTGGGACATCCAGGAGTCGGTGTTGCCGCCGCTGGAGCTTGAGGACCTCGAGCGCGTCCTGGGCACCTACCGCGAGGGGTGTGGCCTTGGGTGGGATCGGCCCCGCCCGGAGCAGCTGCTGCGCCTCCCGCGGACCTACAGGCGGCGCTTCCTGGAGCTCCTCATGGCCTGGGGGCGGAAGCCTTCGCGGGAGGCGCTGCGGCAGCTGATCGTGGTGTTCGTCCCCAAGGCCACTGGCGGCCAGCGGCCGATCGGCCTCGCGGCCATCTGGCTGAGGGTCTGGGGCAGGCTGCGGCAGCCGCTGGTGGCCCGCTGGGGGGCCTCGCTGCAGAACCCTGCCTTCTGGGGCACGTCGGAGAGCCCGTGCGAGCGCGCGGGGGCGGTCCGCAATCTCCCGGCGGCCTTCGCGCGCAGCAGAGGCCTCTCGGCGGCCACGGGCGTCACCGACCTGCAAAGTTCTACGAGCACGTCAGCCACGAGGAGCTGCGCGTGCAGGCGGCCGCCACGGAGCTCCCGCTCGCGCTGCTGCGGTGCTACTGCGTGCCGTGCCGCACGCAGCGCCGCGTGTCCTGGCGCGGCTTGGTCTCCAAGCCGCTCGGGGCGAACGGCGCCATCGTGGCGGGCTGCAGCGGTGCGGCCAGGCTGGCCAAGCTGCTGGTGCACACCCTCTTCGTGAAGATCGTGCGAGAGAACCCTGTGGTGCGCCTGCAGAATGTTGTCGACGACGCGCTGCTGCAGGCGGTCGGCGGCAGGGCGCAGGTGGCGCAGCAGCTCCCCAGGGCCACGGCGGCCCTCACGGAGGGCCTGGTCGCCAAGGGGCTGGTCATCTCGCAGGCGAAGACGGGCTACCTGGCGAACAGTGAGGACCTCGGCGACGAGCTGGACGGCTGCTGGGCGCATGGGCCGCTGGCCCGCTGGACTGGCGCCCGATGCCTCGGCGGCGACGCCGCCGATGGGCGCTGGAGGCGCGTGCGTGAGCAGGGCGCTCGGCTTGGCCGCGCGGCGGAGGTCAGCGCGAGGGCGCGCCTGCTGCGCAGGCAGGTGCGCAGGTGGGCCACATCCAGAGAGGCAGCCCCGCGGCCACTGCCATCTGGGGCTCCGCGGTGACGGGCCTCGCCTGTGGGAAGCTGCACGGCCTTCGGATCGCCGCCATGCGTGCGGAAGGCAGGTTGCCCATGGGCGCCAGCGTCGGCCTGCGGCTGCGGGCGATGCGCGGCGCGGCCTACCGCGACCCCTTCGTGGTGCATGCGGTGGAGGTGGCGCGCTCCTGGGGCATGACGCTGGAGACGGGCCTGCCCAGCGCCGTGGTGGTGCAGGAGTGCTGGCTCGGGGCGCAAGGCCTGCTCGACCTTCGCCGTCCCTGAGGGCAGTGCCGCGACCCTGCGCAGGCATGCGCGCTGGCGCTGAGGCGGGTCGGCATCGAGATGGTGGCCTTCAATGCCGTCATTGACTGGCAGGCGCGCGTCCTCTCGCTGGAGTTCTACTCGCCTGGCATGCCGGTGTAGATGGCGCGGGAGTCGGCGATGCTGGCCTCGGACGTGCTCGCGCTGAAGCGGCTGCGGGGGCCAGGAGCGTGGGCGTGGCCAGTGCGCTGGAAGGGGCTCGAGCGCCTCCTCCACGCGCGCCGCCGCCCCGAGGGGCAGGCCGACGCCGAGGCCGCCGAGGGCGCAGGCTGCCAGGGGCCCGCGCCGCCGCAGCCGCACTGGCAGGCCCGCCACAGGCGAATGCTCGCAGCGGTCCTTGGCGGCCCCCACTGGCCGCAGGAGCGCCTCTGGAAGGAGGGCAAGGCGCGCGACGGCCTGCGCCGCCTCTGCGGAGGCCGCGGCACGCTGCGGCACAGGGCCTTCGAGTGCGAGGCCTGGCAGATGCTGCGGCGGGATGCGTGCTCGCGGGAGCTGCTGGAGGGGGCGCGGCTGGTGGCGCAGCGCGGGGACGTTGCGGCGGAGCTCTTCGCGCGGGCGCTGTGCCCCGACCCCGCCCTGGCCTTCCCCGCGACGGCCGACGCCGCGCTCGCGGCCCCGCGCTGGTTCGGAGCGCCGCCTGGCTCGAAGTTCGAGGGCAGGGTCTTCGTGGACGGCAGCGCCGGGTTTCCTGCGCTGCGCGGGGCCCGCCGCGCTGGCTGGGCGGTCGTGCAGATCGGCCTCAGCGGGGAGGTCATTGGCGGGATGCGCGGCATCGTCCCGCGGGCGTGCGGGCCCAAGCAGGAGGCCAGGGACGGCGAGGACTACGCGTTCCACATGCTGGCCCAGTTCTGGTTCCCGTCGGCCGATGGCTCGGGCCTCGAGTTCTTCTGCGACTGCGCGGGCACGGTCGGCTTGGCGCTCTCGCAGGGCAACGCCCTCGCGCCACTGCAGGCGCGCCGCCACCTCTGGCAGGAGTGGTGGGCTGGGCCAGGCCCCGACGGCCACGGCGCGGAAGGTCAAGGCGCACAAGGAGCTCTCGGCAGCTGCCACCTGGGAGGAGGAGCTCCTGATCAGGGGCAACAGGGCAGCTGACCTGTGGGCCAAGCGAGGCGCGGCGCTGTGGCCGATCGACGAGGAGCAGGTCTGGTTCCTACAGGCGTGCGCCTGGCGCGCGGAGGAGCTCGGGCGCTGGTTCGGCGAGCTGGCCGCCACCATGGTGGACAGAGAGCAACTGGACTCAGACGGGGTCGTGGGCACGGCCGACCTCGTCTACATCACCCCGCAGGAGGCGCTCGGCGCGGCGGAGCAGGCCGACGCGGAGGTGGCGGCGCTGGCGCTCGAGGCCGACCTCGAGCTCGGCCAGACGCCTGGCGCTGCTGCTGGGGCTGCTGCTGGAGAGGAGCATGGCCAGGCGCCCGCCGCTGCCGCGGCTGCCGAGCTGGCGGAGGCGGCCGTGGCCGCTCCCGAGCTGAAGGCCGCGATTGCAGGAGCTGGAGTGGCGCGGGAGGTTCGTGGGCACTGCGTCGTCGTCTCGCGCCTCGAGAATGGAGATGGTGCCGTGGCTTGGTGCATGAAGTGTGGCTGCCGATTCTGGAAGCGGCCCCCTCCTGCTGGGACAGGCCTGCTGGGCAGCTGCAAGGGGCGGCCAGCCCCAGGAGAAAGGGCGGCGGAGGCGCGGCGGCTCCTGATGCGCCTCCAGGAGCCCAAGAGCAAGGCCAGGCTCTCGGACCCCCAGCCGCCCACGCTGGAGGAGCAGGCGCGGCTCGCGGCGGTGCTCCGCGACGGCGCAGGCGGCGAGGCAGGTGCAGGCGCTCCCGCTGGTGCAGGGAGGCCGCCGCGCTGGGGGCTGCGGCCCGTCGTGGCGGACGCCCGGCAGGCGGCGGAGCTCCACGGCTTCGCCTCGCCCGCCGCTGCGGCCCGCTGGGCGAGGGCTCGCGCGGCGGCGGGCAGGGAGTCGCCCGTCGGCGACGGTGGCGCGGACTGACAGCCGCAGGGCGCCAGGGGGCCGATCAAACAAACGACCCAAACAATTGCCTCCTCCTCCTCCTCCTCCTCCTCCTCCTCCTCCTCCTCCTTCTCTTCATTATCCTCCTCCTGCTCTTCCTCCTCCTCCTCCTCCTCCTTCTCGTCTTTCTCCTCCTGCTCCTCCTCCTCTGCTCATCGCTCCTCCTTCCTCCTCACTCCTCCTCCTCCTCGTCATCCTCTTCCTCCTCGTCCTGTTCCTTCTCTTCCTCCCGTTCCCCTTCCTCCTCGTCCTCCTCCACCTCCGCCCTTTCTGATTTTTTGGGCACTGGAAGAACAGGGGGGGGGTCGTCCCTGAGACGAAGCGGGCCCGCGAGGCCTGTTCAGCCGAGGGTCCCTGCGCCAGCCATTGCAACAGCCAGCTGCAGCCGACTCGATGTCGAGCGAGCGTCAGGCCATCGAGAGACGACGTCGAACCAGATGCCGAGGCTTCCTCTTCTTTTTCCTCCTCCTCCACCCTTCTGACCTCGCTTTGATCACCGTTCGTCTTGCCAATATGATATGTCGAGCAGTGGCGAAGCGTTCTGGCGTGCAGATAGGCCTACCAATCAATGTTCTATAAACTTTTTGTGGTTTCCACTACATGGTCTTAGAACATGCATGGCTGGGACAGTCTTGTTTTGGCACATCGGTTTTATAGTATGAGAACACTGTTTCTGTTCTTAGAACGCTTCTGGATTCTAATAACATGTCGTGGTAGGCCTATAGGAATGCTGTGGCGGTCGGTCCCTGTTTAGATATGGGGCTTCTAAGTGGCTGTCAAGGTGGACGATAGTTGGTCCAATCTACAGTGCCGTTCTTAATACATGTTCCGCGTTCGGATCATGTGTTAAAAAATCAGGGATTTAGTATTAAACACAACGATGAGTTCATGCATAAATTTATTCATATATCAATCATGTATTAAACATCCTATGTTTTAAAACATCATATGTATTAAACGCTGCCCTGTAGCTTATACGGTGGTTGCAAATGCCCCGAGCGGCTCACGGGGGGCAGGCACTTGGGCTAACTGGACGGAACCCACTTCGCAGACCTTCCAAGCCCTTTCAAATCACTTAGGCCATGTCTGACACATCTATCATTAAATCGGGCCTGTCCCCCTACAGGGGGATTTCGACGAAAAATATGAAATATCCCAAACATATTCCAGAAATAGTCAAAACATAGTCTGGGGACTATTTTTTGTATTTTTTGACCTCTTTGGGGTATTTTGGGGTATTTCTTATTTTTCGTCGAAAAATCCCCATGTATGGGGGACACGCACGACATAAATCTATCAGTTGGCTTCGGCCACATGTGACCCACATTCGCCTCCACTATAAACCCATGCATCCTCACAGCTTTCGCGACCTCAGTGGAGGAGGGACATATACACAGATTGTTACCTCTGCCCCGTTTTCGCCGTGTTGGGCCTCCTGGGAGGCCTCCGTCGCCACCGCTGGATTCGCCTTGGACTTCTGATCCGAACGCAGCCCATGAGAGGTCAGAGGGCTGGGGAGTAGCAGCACCGGAGGACTGGGGAGGTCCCCATCCTCCTTTCCCTCGTTATCCCTGTCCCTCTCAATCTCATCGATGCGAAGATGTGGAGCCGATGCGCAGAATCTGTGGGCTCCGGTGGATCGGCGAGGCAGTCCTCCGAGGCCTCGTCGAAGCCGGAGCGGGCAGCGGAGGAGGAGCTGCTGCCCAGCACGGTGTGGCTTGCTACTGGGGGGAGCTGCTGGGCACGCATCCCAGTGCTTCGCGGCTCAGCGGTGGATGCATTATCCACTGCCCGTGTGTTTTCCCGATGGTCGCCCCATCCCCAAACATCAAGCCCACAGCGAGCCTTGTCTCTCCAGTCCCCTGCTCCTCCTCATTCTACCATCTCCTCCTGCTCCTCTTCCGTCTCCCTTTCTCGTCCTCATGGGCTGTTTCCAGGCCCTGGTGCCATCCGCTTCAGGTATCCACGACCAGGTACGGGCATCAAGTCCGACTTCAGTTTGCCATGTCTGAAACGCGCTACTGTGGCTTACTGTAGACCGTTCAGGCAGTATGTTGTAAGCTCGTAGTGTTATCAGTAAAGAAGCAGCCAAGCAGTGAATCAGACAAGCAACACCTAGGCCCGTCTCGGAGATTGCAGACCGCTGGGCTTGTCTCATGTCCTTTTCCAGGGCTGGACCTAAACGGTGTTTTTAGTGATTTCGTGGGCCGTTTTTGTTTCGACTTCGTTTTGCGGTAATGGCGGATTCGAGACAAAAGTTAGGGTAAACGAAAACAAAACGAAAACGAAAAACACCGTTTAGGTTCAGCCTTGTCACCTTTCTTTTCCGTGCGCAGGTAGTATCGGGCCACGGTGTCGTTCTCGAGTCGGTGCCAGGTCCTGGTCTGCAGAGACCCCCCCGAGGTCTTCGAAGGAAGGCGGAGGAAGAGGCCAAGGACGTCGGGTGGCCAACCGTGAAAGTTCCGGCACACGGCCAGGGTCTTCTGTTGCCCTGCAGCTGCGAAGTAAAATGGGCACTGGGCCACATGACGACGCCTGCAAGGCCACTAGGCCAAGCACGCGCGCTCGTTTCCTTGTTGTCGTTTTCCTTATGTTTCCTCCCTATGGTTCCTCCTGCCTGGACGCTTCCACGTACTCCTAATTACTCGTTTGTTCTTCGTCCGGTACTTTGGTGGTCGAGTTGCACCCCTCGATCTGCGGATGTACGCCGATGCGCAGGCGTGTTTTATCTTGGACCGACCTATTTTTCCAGCCGTTCGCAGGGTTTCGGTGCACCACCCTTTTCCCTGGGAGGGGCTGAGTCGTGCTGGGCCAGGACGAGGAAGAATTTGTTCCAGAGCGTTTCCGAACGCTCTCAGACCGTTCTGAAACGCTTTGACGGCCGCCGCCGGATCTCAGAGATTTTCGATTCACCCTCACCCGAGTTGATCCCTTCCTGGCTTCAGCTGATCTTTCCCGGGGACTAGCCGAGGAGGCGGGGGAGGAGGAGCAGCAGCAGACGCGTGAACGGGTGCAGGAGGAGGTGGAGGATTGAGAGGAGCAGAATTGGGAACAGTATCAGAATCGATTGAGGGAAAGAAGGACGGTCGAGGGAGCTCAGATCCACGAAGTCCGCGCGGACCGCCAACAGTTTCATTCTTTCGTTTTTTACGTCCTCTAGAGGGAGGAGGTCAGCACTTGAAGCTGAGGCCGCCGCCGCGGGCGCAGGTGTCCAAGCGCTGGCGCTCCCCGTCCAGCCAAGAGCGCGGTCGTCAGGATCCTGGCTCAGGCCGGGAATGGACGAGCAGAGCCGAGGGAGCAGGAGGATGGGGGCCCAAAGAATACACCACCACCACGTCGATTCCTCCTCTCTCCTCCTTCCAGCGAGAGGGAGCGGGGGAGTGGGTGTTGGTGGTGTATATTTTTGGGCCCCCCGAGCGCGGAGGGGGGAGGAACGAACGGAGGGTGCGGAGAGCAGGGAGGGAAGGCGGGAGGCGGGAGGAGGTGTAGGCTTTCTTGCGCGCGTGGACGGGCGTTGTGGTGGGCGGTCGGGCTGCCGACCCCCCACGACCCCCCAGGCACTCGAAGGACCGCGGCATGGCGCTTCCGGCCACGCTCGCCCGACGGCTTTTGACCGCCAAGTTCATGAGGCTTCAATCTACTGTAGCCCTGACCACCAGAAAAAATGTTCGAGCGCCAGAAAAAAGTACGAAACTCAAGGGTTTTCACGTGTCGGGCCCTGGGAGACACTCGCCCGACGCTGTTTCGACATTGTTTCGACACTCTTTTGACACTTTTCCCTGTGCTCGAAATTATTTATGGGATGTGGTCTTTTGGGATGGGAACAGTCGGGCATGTCCCTACACTGTCGGAATACTTACACACAGTCAAACGATAGGCTGGGGACGATCTCTCGCCCGAGTGGTGTTGGCCTGTCTGATGCTCTTGTTGGCCACGCTCCATTCTGCTTCCGGGGTCCGCCCGTAGGAGGACACGCCCGACCTCACGCTCATTTCTGCACGCGGCACTTCCCGCCGCGCTCGCTGGACGGCTTCCGACCACGCCTTCTGGCGCGCAGCGGCCTCATCGTCGGGAGCTGGCTCTGTTTGGGGCTTGCAGCCGCGGAGGATTTGAGACTTCTTGCCCGGGACCAGCTGCGCGACCCGAGTCCTTCCTCAGCTAGAAGGGGAAAACAACACAGACACAAGCGATCGTCGACTCCCAGGAATATATGCGAAAATCTGGGAAGTGCGGGGGAAGACAAACACTCAGAAACTATGGGAAAGCATTGTGAATTCTGGGGTTTGTGTGTATTTCTTTGTGTGTCCCTGGGCCCCCTCAAACAGACGGGGGTCAGTGAGAATGGGAGTCAGTGAGAGCGCTGGATCCTGCAGGATACTGCCGAGCCAGGAGCGCAGTGAGCGGGGCTTGGGCGCAGGATCCCGCAGGATCCTGCCAAGGCCTGACCTACCCAGGCCTGGATTGACCCGGGTCCGCAGATCCCCGACGTCTTCGGCGGGGGGGCGAAGATTGCAGGAGGAAGCGCTCTTGCGGTGTTCAACTGCCCGCAGGACACGAACGGCGTGGAAGACCTCCTGGTCGTGGAGGCCGACCGCCAGGTCATCCGCGACGCGCTGCTGGCGCCCCAGAAGGGACCGCGCCAGTTTTGTTCGCTGGGCGCCAGGGGCTCCGACAGCAGGCGGGGCAGGCTCCCGTGAGGTCCCGGCGTTGCGGTGAGGCTGTCTCTCTTCAGACTCGGGCATGTCGGTTTGCAGGGTGTTCCCCCCCCCCCCTCCCCCGTCCGTCTCCTCTGAGCACCGTCTCCTCTGAGCAGGAGGAGGAGGAGGAGGAGGAGGAAGAGGAGGAGGGGGAGAAGGAGGGGGGGGGGGGGAGGGGGCGCTGGGCCGAGCAGGCGGGCAAGCAAATCCCGACTGGCGTGAAGTGCAGACGCCTTGCTCGGGCCCCCCACCGTGCCCCCCCCCCCCCTCCGTGCAAGGAAGCTCGCCAGAGCTCCGCTGGGATCCCGGGGTTGCAAATTTTGTCATACTGGCATTCAGTCGGGCATGTCCCCCTACAGGGGGATTTTCGACGAAAAATAAAAAATACACCCAAAATGATAAAAACATAGTCCAAACATAGTCTGGGGACTATTTTGGGGGTATTGTTTGACTTTTTTAGGGTATTTTTCGGGTATTTGTTATTGGTAAGGGGACACGCCCGACATAACACTGGCAGTTCTCGCCAGTTTCGGGCCCCGGGGCCATCACGGATCGATCCAGGCAGATCATGCAGCAGACAGACGAGGTCCAGCGCTCCGGTCGATTTTTCTTCTCGCGGTGCTGCCTGTTTGTTCGCAGCCTCGGATCTCAGGGTCAGGGGGGACATGCTCGAGGTGGTCGGGCGTTAGCATCGATTCTCCGCGTGTTTGTTTTGCTTGTCCATCTTAGGGTGCCGTTGTTAATACATGTTCCGCGGGCGGATCAACTATGAAAAAAGCAGGGCTGTCGTACTAAAAACAACGATGAGTTCATGCATAAACTTATTCATACATGAGCCATGTTCTGAAATCCAAAATTTGCGAATCCTATGTATTAGAAACTGCCCTTTAGGGGGAGCCTTCTGGGGCGTCTCGTCCCGCACGGCCGTCGGAGAGCCGAGCCGTGGCCCGAAGCCGGGGCCCGAGAGGCCGGGGCCCGTGCAGAGGGGGGCCGGCCAGAGCGCCGGATGTTGCGGGACTCTGCTGGGCCAGGACGGAAGGGGGGGGATTGGGAAAGGGGGCCTCCTCCTCCCTGCCTCCTCCATCTCCTCCTCCGGCTCCTCCGTCTCCTCCTCCTCCTCCTCCTCCTCCTCCTCCTCCTCCTCCTGCCCCCTCCTGCTTGGATAGCAGGGGCCCCGTCATCGACTCGGGGATAGCCGGGGCACCCCCCACTGGCGGAGCCAGTGGGGTGGTCGGCGCCGCCTGGATCGGCGGGGTATAAGTAGAGCCGGGGACCAGGCCGCAGGACTGGCGGAGGCGGGAGGGGTCGCGCCTCCCCCGGGGGAGGGGGGTTGGCTGCTGTGGGACTGTGCCCCTCCCCTCCTCCTCTCTCCCTTCTCCTCGTCGTCTCCCCCTCTCGTCTCCTCTCCCCCCCCCCAGGGCTCACAGCTCCCACGGCGGTTCACCCCCCCGCCGGGGCGAGGCCGGGGGACCCGCGGCGGCGCGCGGAGCGCGCCGCCGCCGTTCGTCACGCGGTGGTCGATGTTTCGGCCGCGCGCGCTCCAGGAGATTCCGCCTTGTCGCCCAGGACAGGCCTGGGGGTAGGTGGCAGGCTCGTTTTCGCCGCCGTTGTGCGTGTTTCGCATCTTCGGAGGTCAGGCCAGCAGAATCCAGCAGAATCCTCCTCCTCCTCCTCCTTCTCCTCCTCCTCCTCCTCCTCCTCCTCCTCCTCCTCCTCCTCCTCCTCCTCCTCCTCCTCCTCCTCCTCCTCCCCCTCCCCAGACGCCCAGGCCCAGTCTGGGGGGGACGCATCGACCCCCAAGCTCGGGCTGGACGAAAGGGGGGGATTGGGGAAAGGGGGGTTACGAAATTTGCGGCATGCAGCTGGTTTCGGCCTCACCGAGGGGCCCATTCCTGGATACATCGCTCCCTCCGGCGCCGGGAGGCGCCGGGAAAGTCAGCGACGTGAGCTGATTCTCAACCCCCCCCTTTGGTATCCCCCCTTTTCGCCCGAACCCGATCCTGCAGGGCCAGGGGCGCGCTGACCCAGGGGATTAGGGTGCAGGATCCTGCAGGAGGAGCCCTCGCGTGGACCCGGGCTTGGGTGCGGGATCTTGCAGGATCTTGCGGGTTCCTGCCAGGCCTGCCTGACCCGGGTCCGGACTGACCCGGGTCAGTGCGCCCCCGACGAGAGCCAGTGGGCAGCGTCCGAAGTGGTTACAGTGCCGTTTTTTATACATGCTCCGCGTGCGGATCATGTATTAGAAACGCAGGGATTTAGTCTTAAAAACAACGATGAGTTCATGCATACATTTACTCATACATTAATCATGTGTGGAACATATTATATGTTTAAACATCCTATGTATCAAAAACGGCCCTGGGGTGCCCACACCGGCCCCGCCCATTCGTCACCGATGGGATCCCGGCGGCCCACCCCGCCCTGGAGCGTTCGGATCTGCGCTGTCGGGGGCGCGTCGCCGGTGCATCGGCGATGCGTAGCCGGCTTCAGTGCGATGTTTCTTCCCTACAGCGCACAGGGCAAAGATGGAGGCAAGACGACGCAAAAGTACGCAGACTTTCGGAAGTCCACGCGGACCCTTTGGAATCGGCGATGTTTCGCCGATTCCAAGCGATAGATTCCTCCCTGAGCTGGTCCTTCTCTGAACGCTGGCCCTCCTCAGTGGCGGCTGCGCAGGGGCGGGGGCAGAGGAGAAGACGAGGAACGAGGAGGTCGCCTCGAAGCAAGCAGGTCCTGATCGGATGGGGCCCTGCGTGTTGTCGCCGTGGTCGGTTTCCCGGGGCCCGTCCAAGATCGGGCTTTGGGGCCGTCCAAGATCGGATCAGGATGTGAAGGGCCAGTCCAGGGGAAAGCCTTGGGGCCCAGGACCCAGTTTCCCTCCATGCTACAGCAGACAAGGGAGAGGAGGAGGAGGAGGAGGAGGAGGAGGAGGAGGAGGAGGAGGAGGAGGAGGAGGAGGAGCGAGAAGGAGGCAGGGTAGGCGGAGGAGGAGAGGACGAAGGGGGGAGGTGCAGGAGGGGGTTGTTGTTGTCTTCCCGCGCGGCCCTCGTCCATGCGATGGGGGCGTCGGATTAGTTTTGTCTGTAGACTGGGAACTATAGCAGCGAGGGCGAGAGGCACCGTCGGCGAGCCAATAGAGGAGGAGGACGGAGGAGTGAGAGGGTAACGAAGAGGAGGGAGGAGGTGGGGTGAGGGAGAAGAGCGGGGTCTGGGGAGATTGGAATAGAATTTTAGGGAGGAGGAGGTTGTGCGGACGATACTTAATAAGGGTGGCGATGGTGATGGGTCTCAAGGACGATGATGTTGATGGTTACGGATAGGATGACGTTGTTGATGACGATGTTGATGATGTTGACGATGATGATGATGATGATGATGACGATGACGATGATGTTGATGATGAAGTTGATGGTGATGGTAATGATGATGATGCTGTCGACGATTATGTTGATGCTGATGGTGACGATAAGGATAGTGATATGGATGCTGATGATTATTATGATGGTGGTTGTGGTGATATTGATGATGATGCCGATTATGATGATGAACATGTTTATGATGATGGTGGCCACGATGCTGACTGTGGCGCTGATGATGATGATGCTGATGTTGATGATGAGTATGTTGATGATAATGCTGATGCTGATCATTATGTTGATGACGAGTCTGGTGGTGATGATGATGATGTTGATGATGCTCTTGATGATGATGACCATGGCGATGACAAATATTATCATCATTAGTGTAATGGTGATGACGATGGGGATGGGGAATATGATTATGATGATGATCATGCTTCTGATGATGTTGGCAATGTTTATACTGATGATGAATGTGGTGGTGGTGGTGCTGATGCTAATGCTGCTGATGAGTTGCTATACTGACGATGGGAAGCGGGTAGAGGGAGGGAGCTTGATTAGGCGAGCCAGAACGGTGCGGGCACCTGTGCCACGTTGTTTTAATTGCGCGCGGATTTCTTGGAGCGGCGGTTGGCCCCCCCTGGCGGCGTTTCGGGCGCTGCCCTACGCGCGCCGCGCGCCATGATGGGGGTCCAGCGCCGCTCCAAGAAATCCGCGCGGAGCTCCGAGAAATTATGATCTTGCCTTTTTTTTGTTCTTCCAGTTGAGGGTGGAGAGTCCTCGCCCTTCTTGTCGCTGCTGTGGCAGACAACCGTGGCCCCGCCCGAGACGTACCAAACCACCCCAACCCAACCCGACGGCCCCAATTGGGCCTCCATTCCCAGTTGGGGGGGGGCGTCGGGGAACATGGAGAAGAACACAGGTGGAACCCGTATACACCCCCCAAGCCGAAATTTGGGGGCCTCGGGTCGGGTTGGGGTGGCCTGGTGCAGGGCCCTCTCCTGCAGACCTGGGGCTGCCCGCGGGAGCCCCCCCGCCAGCTTCGGCGCCGCCGGCCCAGTCGGCACCCGCGTCGGCAGCCCCGAGCGCGGCTCTCGGGGGCCTCCTCCTGGCCCGCTCCCGTGCGCACCCTGGCGGGGCGGCTGCGGACGGCCCCGTTCGTGGGCGGCGAGTCGTCTTCGGAACCGTCCCCGGGCCTCCGAGGAGGAAAAGAGTTGCCCTCATCGCCACCTCGTGCTCCCCCCCTTTCGGGGGGGGCTTCCTGGGCGGCCCTCGTCGCCACCGCTGGATTCGCCTCGAGCTCCTTCCTGGTCGGGGCGCACCCCGGGCGAGGTCTGGGGAGCAGCGGTATCGGGCGACCCTGGGTTTCCCGAGCACGCGTGAGCCCGAAGGTCTCTAAGGCTCGGCGCGCCGCTCTCGAAACTCAGTGAGGAGCCAGCGGGGCCAGCACCCTCAGAGCTTGGGGGTGGTGCTGCTTGCTGGCACCATGCTTCGCGAAAGTTCGTGACAGCTGTTCGTCGAGAGCGACACCCTAACCCTACTAACTCGATGAAGTCGGGGCCTCACTTGGGTCCCCGTCTGCGCATTAGGGATAAACAGACCTGAGCGGTCTGGTCGGATGCATCCGCAGAAAAAAGGACCCCCTATCCCTAATGTATTGGGCCCGCCTAACCTCACCGAGCGCGCTACACAATTCGCAAAGTGCCTACTCGCAAACGTCCGACACAGACTTGTCTGCTTCGATGGAGCTTATCGTAGATTCTCCGCGGTGGATCCAGCCCATTTGCGATTAGTTGCTTTTGCGAGTAGTGGAGTGCGTTCGTCAATAACTTAGGCCCCCTCCCAAAGGGTTAGGGAGGGGTCCTTTTAATACTGGTCATCCAGGGCCCCGTCGTGCGGTGTTGCTCCTGCCCGCGCCGCCGACGTGTCGCGGCGCTCGCCTCCGTGCCGCCAGCTCGGTGCCGTCGAGTGCTCACTCGGGGTACCGAGGGAAGAAGCACGACACGAACATACCCGGACACGATCGCGTCGTAAAAAAAATCAGGACGAAGGTTTTTCAACATGTTCGGCCCTTGGAGGCCCTCGCTGGGCCCCGGGACAGTCAGAACACAACTCGGGATGAAAAAGCGGCCCCAGGGAAAGGGTCTGGACTTCGGGGACGCCGTATGGAAAACATCAGGACGTCGCATGTCTGGGTACAGTAGAAAACCATGCCAAGAAACACCCTGCTTGCCTCCAAGGAGATCTGGGTTTCTTGGGTTTCGATGATTCATGGCAAGCGTGACGTTCTCATACCACAAATCAGTGGACATATTGTGGGCTCCAGGTTGGGTTTCTTGTGGAAGGTTTCGTGTGGTCGCTCCTACTGCAAATGTTCCGCTAATCATGCATTTCTTCTCTCCGCCTCTCCTGCTTGTCTTCATCCTCCTCCGTCTGCCTTGAGCCGCCCGGCGAACTTGAGCAGTTGCCCCCCTCTCCTTTCCTCGGTCTCTTCTTCCTCCAAGGTCGCCCCCAAGGCTGCCTGGGCCCTGGCTCGCATCCCAGATTTCCGGCGCTCGCTTCGTATTTGTTGGATTGTGGAGTTCGACGCCGCTAGTGCATGGTGTCCGCGCTGCACACAAGTCTTCTCTTTCTCTCCTCCCCCTCTCATTCCTCCTCTTCCTTCGTTCCTCTTCCTCATTCCTCCTCCTCGTCCTCCTTACTATTCTTCTTCACCGTCCTCCTGCTTCTTCCCTTCCTCCCCAAGGCTGGCGACGAATTTCCCCGCTCCGACTGGGGTGGAGATCGACGAGAGGGATGGGGATCGAGGGAGCGAGAGGGGGCGGCATCCATAATCTGGGAGGACCGAGGCGGACAGCAGGAGCAGGAGGTCCCTGAGATCCGACGTTGCGGAAACATTACAACATCGCAAAAAGTTACGACCGGACCCCCGGACCCCCAGACCCCATCTTCTTGCGTCATTCTTCGAGCCGGATCGATATGCCAGGGTCCCGCGGGCCAGAAAAAAGCAAAAATGCGGCGTGTCGTAAAACAGTTGCCATGCCAGGAGTGCAGGGCGAGGAGGAGGAGGAGGAGGTCGAGCCCGCGGCAGTGAACAGCCGGCGGCTCCCAGCGGCCCCTGGCGGCGACGGCGAGCGCCGGAAGAAGCTGCCGCAGCCCGGGCCCAGCGCCCCCAGCGAGGGCGCCCCCGCACCGGCCCCGACCATCGGCAGTGGAGGATCCTCGTCGTCGTCGGCGTCGTCGTCGTCGTGGGCCTCGTCGTCGTCCTCGTCATCGTCGTGGTCATCGGCCTCGTCGTCGTCGTCGTCGTCGGCCTCGTCGTCGGCCTCGCCGTCGTCGTCGTCGGCCTCGCCGTCCTCCTCGTCCTCGTCGTTGTCGTTGTCGTCCTCGTCCTCGGCTTCGGCCTCGTCGTCGCCCAGCCCCGCGGCCGAGGCGGGAGAAGGGCGGGGGGCCCGCGGCCCCCCGGGGGGCGCCGTGCGGCGCGGCAGCCGCCGATGGAGCAGTGGCGGAGCGTCCATCTAGGCCTCCTAGATGGGGTCGGAGTGGATGGGGTCGGAGGATCGCGCCGCATCGTTGATGCATCGACGATGCGGCTCGATGCGGAGCCCGATTTTCTCCACGCTGGCGTCGCCGATGCATCGCCCACGGCTGATGTATCGCCGGTGCATTACCAATGCATCGCCGATGCATCTCCGGCGATGCGGCGCCATCCTCCGACCCCATCTACTCCGACCCCATCTAGGAGGCCTCTAGTCCAGGCCTGTCCACAGGCCCACGAGGGGATGTTCTCAGGACCTCCTCAGAGCCCCTCGCGTTGTGGCAAGGACGCGGCGGGAGGTTTATCGCTACTTTCGGCCTCCGGGGCCCTCACCGGGCCTCGGGACCGTCCAAGAACGGCGCGGGGTGAAAAAAAGGTCCCTGGGAAGGGGTCGGGATCTCTCAGGGTCGACGTTGCGAACAAGATCACGACGTCGGGGGTCTGGGTCTTGAGGTCTGCACGAGATGTTGTTAGGTCATTTCTGGCTGGGAGTGTCTTGTTTTCACACCTTGGGCTTGCGTTCTGAGAACAGTGGTTCTGTTATCAGAGCATGCTTGAGGTTCTAAGAACATGTCGTGTTATAGGCCTTAGGAGTGCCAGAATTGTTCCCTACTCAAGCCAAACAATCAAAAACCGATAGACTCAGCCAGGTGCAGTCCCAGACCCCTCGCGTCGTGTCAAGTGCACATGGCGGGAGGTCTGGGCCATCTTCGGCTCCGAGGGGCCGTTGTGCGGGGCTTCGGGGCCGTCAGGAACCGACTCGGGATGAAGAGTCGATCCTGGGGAAGTGGCCTGGACCTCCGGAGAAAGCAGGACTTCGACGATTTATTGTTCTCCACGATTTCCAGATGCCGACAGCCCAGAGTTTCCAAGATTCCCACGTTTTTCAAGACTTCCAAGACAGGTGCCGACAGCCCCGAGCTTCCACGAGATCTAGTTTTCCAATCCCCTCGTTTTCCCTCGACGTCGGCCCCAGGGACCCGTTCAGTGGGTCTGGGGACCATCGAACACTGATCTTGGGCGATAGATTGGCCCGGGGAGGTGGTCCTCCTCTTCCTCCTCCTTCTCCTCCTCCTCCTCCCTCCTCCTCCTCCTCCCTCCTCCTCCTCCTCCTCCTCCCCCTCCCCCTCCACCACCTCCTCCTCCTCCTCCTCCTCCTCCTCCTCCTCCTCCTCCTCGGGTCGGGACATCCGGGGCTGTTGAAAAAACCAGCCGCGGCAAGATGTCCTGCTCGACTATTTCGTGACGCACAGGCCCAGCCTGCGAGCGTCCCTGAGGGCCGCGGCGAACGCGGCCGCTGTAGCAGACCCATCGGGACCGGTCTCCAAGACCCTCTACGCACGCTCGGTGAAACAGCAGTTTCTTGCCATGACCGTCGAAGAGCAGGAGGAGTGGACGCAGGCTGCGGCGCAGCGCGGTCCTCCCCCAGCGCAGCGACTTCTCCTGGCGATCGCAGCCTCGAGCAATGGCCAGGGCAGCACGGAGGCCCCCGCGGCGGAGGCCAACGGCAGAGACCAGGCGCCGAGTGAGCACGCCCCGAAGGACCTATCGGACTTCGAGGGCCCGGCGGACGTCGCGCCTCCAGGGTCTTCAGAGCATCTGGGCGCTCCAGGCGCCGCAGGGTGCCTCAGTCCGGATGACTCCAGCAGCGGTGCTCGTCATGCGGGAATTCGAGCGTCGCATTTTGCGCCAGACAGGGGCCCTACTCGGAGAAGGCTTACCGCGAGGCTTGCTGGGGGGCCTGGGACGCATCTCAGGCAGGATCACCGAAGACGTTCGAGGCACCGAACCCCAGTCCTGTGCCGCAGCAGCCCCACGGATCCGAGATCCAGGAGCAGACCAAGTCTGTGTACCCAGAGGCCTCTGACTGGGGGGCAGCGCAGCCCTTGCAGTGCACCTCGGGGCATCCCACGAGCGACGCGCCCCCAGGGATGGAGGAGGTCCCTGCCTCCACGGGCCGCCAGTGCGCCAGGCAGCCGCAGTGCGATTGGTGTGGCAAAGAGGTTACCCCACGGGGCCTTTTTGCAGGGCGCGCGTGTTGTGTTGACTGCTGTGGCGCATGCGAGGCCGAGGAGGCGGGCCCGGCCGAAGGAGACCCCGCCGAGTTCGATGAGGAACGGGGGAGGCGACGTGGCCGGCCTTGAGGCAGCCAGCCTGTTCGGGCTGCCGCGTCTCCGGGCCCGGCCTGACGCCTCTCACCTCCGCGGGGGAATTTGGAGCCGCCCTTTCTCTGCGGCCGCTGCTGGACCACCCGCAGTCCCGACACGCAGGCCATGGAGGCCCCCCGCATTCCCAAGGGATGGTATCTCCACCAGCCCCGGCACGTCGCCCCACCTCAAGCAGTGGCGAAGCGTCCTGGCTCGCCTATAGCCCTATCAAACAATGTTCTAAGAACCTTCTGAGGTGTCCACGAAATGTTCTTAGAACATTTCTGGTTGAGACTGTCTTGTTTTATCGCATCGGGCTAATGTTCCAAGAACATTGTTTTTGTTCTTAGAACTTTTTGGGGTTGACTATCGGAATGCCGGGACGGTCGGTCCCTGCTCAACCACCCGCCTGGGTTGAGCAACGGGCCATCGACAGCACAGGAGGCACCGCGAGGGGCCTGGGGGGGGAGGTGCCGCCAGCAGAGCTCCCCGACCAGATATCGACGCGTCCTTCCCTGCGCAGGCGCGCCGCCGCCTCGCGGCTGGCTCTCCCGCGGCAGCGGCGGGCAGACCTAGGGAACCACCGATTGGATCGCTGGGTGCGCCTGCTTCGCAACGGGAAAGTGCCCACGGACACGATCGTCCTGTTCTGGGTTACCACCCGTGTGCCCCACGGGGCCTCCAGCCCTCTCCTCGCGGGCGGCGCCCAGTGGTCCTGCGTCCCCCCGAAGCCCGCGGCACCCAAGGGCGTCCTCGTCCAGTTTGGGCGCCAGACAGGGGCGATCCACGTCTGGCCCAGCAAGGAGGGCCGGGTGCTAATATCTCGGCGTCCCGGACGTGCCGCGAGGGCATCCTCAGGAAGGTCGTCGGCTGGTCCGTCCCCTACTAGGGGGCCGCATGCGAACCCTACCCCTACCCCCTACGATTTTTGAGGGGGGCAGGGGTAGGGTTCGCATGTGACCCCCTACCTACGGCACGGGGGAGACGCCGATTGCCCCAACCCATGAGCCGAGTCTCCCGGTGCTGCCGCCACCCAGCTGGACGGCGCCCTGAGACGAGGAAGTGTCGGGCGGGGCGAAAGGGGTGGGATTGGGAAAGGGGGGGTTACGAAATCTGCTGCATGCAGCTGGTTTCGGTCCCACCGAGGGGGCCATTCCTCGATACATAGCCGCCTCCGGCGCCGGGAGGCGCCTGGAAAATCAGCTACGTGAGCTAATTCTCAAACCCCCCCTTTGCTATCCCCCTTTTGGCCAGCCCGAACGTGGTTTACCGCGGTCTGACGCGCGTTCAGCTCCCCGCGCTCAGTCGCAGCATCGGGGGCAGCGTTTTGCAGCCCTCGTTGTCTCTATCTCGCTCCGCTCCCCTCCCCTCCTGCTGTGTGTGTGGATCTCCTCTCCGCCCCCTCTCCCCTTCCTCGCCCCGCGTTCCTTTCTGTCCCGTGGGAGGTGGACAGGGATGCCAGCCCGTCGATCATGAATCGACCTAGCTTGAGCTCTAACATTGACCCGTTCGGGGTGCGATTCATATTTCGTTAAATTAGACCCTTTACCCGTACGCATTGCGCATGTGCGGCTTAGAGCCTACACAAGTAGGTTAAACACCGGCGGTCTTGGTTAAGAGGACTGCCGAAGGCCCACAGAAGTTGGGTACCTTTACGTTTTCTCTGGCGTCCTCTGCCATGTGCGGCCACTCTCCTTCTTCCTTGGTCGCCGCGCGTGCCGTCAGCAAGAATAGGGCCATCGCTGTGCGCCGGTCCTGCGATGTTGCGCCACTTCTGGACTGCCGGCACGCATGGATTCAGGCGCCGATGCTCGACCCAACTCTGGGAGATGCCAGCTCATCCTCCCTGCAGGCGATCGCCTCGGATCGCTCTTACTTTTTGCGCGCTGCCTCAACAGTGTCTTCTGGGGTAGGCCACTCGCGGGCCCTTGTCTCGATTTGCGCCGCCGACACAAAACATGGTCATCCCTTCCTCTCCTCTCTCCTTCCCTCCCTCACCCTCCCTCCCTCCCTCCAGGTCCCTGCGGGTCTGGCTGGGATGGGCTGGGCTGGGCTGGACCGAGGCGTCTGGGAGCAATCCTCATTGCCAGGGTACCTCAGGTGGGTACTCCCCCTGGGGCCTGGGGCCCCGGTGGCGCCCTGGGCGGTGCCTGGGTCAAGGCCCCAAGGGGTCACCCCCATCAACTTGTGCCCATCTCCTTGCTTTTGTGCCCCCACCCCGGGGGGTCGGGGGCCCAGGCTGCGCCCAGTGGGCCCCCCCCCGTGGCGATCGCCCAGGGGCTCTCCCCTCTGCGAGTCCACGGGCTGCCCGTGGATCCCCCCGGTGGGGGGTGGTTCAGGGACTCGTCTGGGGCCTTTTCGGGGCGGCTCTCCCTTCCCCCCGCTCCCCCTTCCTCCCTCCATCCCTCCCGCCCTCCCTCTCTGGTTGCTCCCTCCCCCCTCCCCCCTTCTGTCCTTTCGCTCTCGACTTCCTCTTCCCCCAGAGGGAGTGTGCCTCCGTGGGCGTTCACGAAACCGACCCGGTGGGGGGGGGGGTCCAAGGACTCGTCCGGGGCCTTTTCGGGGCGCCACCCCGTGCCGAGGTAGCTTCTCACCGCCGCTCTGTCCCTTTTTGTCCACGCTCTTGCTGCGTGCGAACGGCCGGAGACCGTGCGGCAGGCCTAATGGGCGCGCTCGCCGAGCGGACACTCCGCCTGGGCGGGAGGCCACCGCGAGGGCGATGCTGAGCTCGCGACAGGGGGGGAGGTTGGCTACGCAGAGGTGGCCGCGCTGGCAAGCTTTTCAGAGAAGGAGGAGGCGTCTTTCTGGACCAGGCCACCGGGAACCGAGCAGTACAAACCTCTGCTTCTCCTGGGCTGACCCCCCCTCCCTCCGCTCGCTCAGTCTCGCAGGTGCGGCCTGCGCTGACACGAGGCGGCTGGGAGTGCGGGCGGGGGTCCCCGTGGGAGGGAGTCGCCGTGAGGCCCCCCTCCCCAGGCCTTCCCCTCTTCTCCATCGCGTTCGCTTCCAGGGCCAAGGAGTGGCTCCTCCGCGGTCCTAGGAGAAGCGCGGGACCAGGCTCAGTCGGGCGTCCCTTGGTCCGCCCCCTGTCCTCCCCCTCCTCTTCCTCTAGCCCCGCAGGCGGTGTCACTCCTTCCCCTGAGCGGACGCTGCGGAGTGGCGGCAGTCACTGTCCTCCGTCCCTGCTGCCCTCTGCTAAAGAGGCCGTGCCCGCGCCCCCGCACTGCCGCCTCGTTTGGAGGACACCAACCAACCAACCATCCCCCCCCTCGTTCTCCTCCTCCTCTTGTTCCCTCCTCCTCCCCCTCCACCACCACCACATCCTCCTCCTCCTCTTTTTCCTCCTCCTCCTCCTCCTCCTCCTCCTCCTCCTCCTCCTCCTCGGGTCGGGACCTCCGGGGCTGCGGATTGAAAAAAACAGATCGGGAGATGTTCGGGATTGGGGGGCGGGGGAGGATCGGCTATTCGCAGGAGTGGCCCTTCGCCAGAGGACCTTCCCGGGCGGGTCACAGGGGTCCTGCCAGTGTTGGCCGGCGTGCCTGTGCTGCTCGGATATGTCTTCGTATTGCGGCTCCCTGAAGTCGCGGACCGGAGGTCGCTTTTGCCAAGGGTCAGTTTTGCGTGCAACTGAAAGGAGGAGGGAGGAGGAGGGGGTGGGTGTGTTTCTCTTTTTGCTGGTGTTTCTCTCTCTCTCTCTTTTTCTTTCTCTCTCTCTCTCGCTCTCTGTCTTTCTTGTTGACGTCCAGGGCCCGCTTTGCCAGGATCTTTCCTCCAACAGTGGGCCAGTGGTGAACCCCCCAGTAGGGAGGTTCTCTGAAGTGTTCGGCCGTGTTCGATGCCTGGGGTGGATTCAATCCGCTGCGTCTCGCTGCGGGAGTTTCAGGTGCGCAGGTCTCGTCGCGAGCGACCTCCAACAACTCGACAGTTGACCCCAACGCCAGGGAAAGCATAGACGTCCGTTCCAATCCGATCGAGCCGATTCAACAGCGATTCCGACTGGCCCGATCCGATTTGGTTCCGGTATTCGATTTGGTTCCGGTATTCCGCTGCGCCCCGGCGTTTCAACGACGATGTTGTGCAGTTTGGCGCGGCCGGTTCGAGCCGATGTCGATTCCGTGCGCGCGCGGTCCGATCAGACGCGCGGTCTTCCGATGCCTATCGGTGCCGATCGGGCCTCGCGAACGCAGGTTCTCTCCACTGCTCCCTCAGGCAGGTCCCCCTTTTCAGGTCGCTAGGCTGCCCCGTCGGGGGCGCAACCGCACTGTGCCGAACATTCTGTCTGATGCGAGGGGTGTTATTCATATATTGTGCACAGGTAGTCGTTTGTTTCACACTGTCCTCATTTCCGTCCCCATTAATGGGGCGAGCGGCTCTCTGAGTCGCCCGGCCGGACTTGCTTGCTTGCTTGCTTGCTCCACCTCGTCCTCCTTCCCCGCATGCCACTCCTCAGCAGCATCCTTCTGTTATGCACTCTAAGGGTGTCGCCTCGAAGGTGACCTGCACTCTCCGCAATCGCCACGGCTGCACCGCGGCGCACCGGGATCGGAAACGCCGCAGCACACGCAAGGCTTCCAGGCCCACGCCCCCCTCCACCCCTCGGCGTATCATTGAGCAGTGTGTTCGCCAATTTGCTTAAGTCGGGCCTGTCCCTCTACAGGTGGGATAATAGTCAAAAACAGTTTAAAAATAGTCTGGGGACTATGTTTGGAGTTTGTTTTCACAAGTTTGGAGTATGTTTTGAGTATGTTTTATTGTTCGTCGAAAATCCCCCTGTAGGGGGACATGCCCGACTTAACAGTTTGGCGAGATGACGACATGGGGTTTGACTAAGGGAACAACAGCTGGCATAGACAGAACAACTCTGAAGTCCGCGCGGATTTCTCGGATCGGTGCTAGGGCTCCTTGGCTCACTTCCAGCGCCGCCCCAGGTGCGCTCCGCGCGCAAGGGAGGGGGGTCCACCGCGGATCTAAGAAATCCGCGCGGAGCTCCGAGTTTTTATGTCAATGTCACTTTTAGTTCCCTTATTGACGAACCATATGATCCTCCCGCGCGTAAACTTCCCGCGTGAGGTCGCGCGTCAGCGCTCTCTTCTCCACGCGGCGTGCCGCGACAGTGGCATGCGTGAGCCGCGGCGTGGGGTCGCTGCGTCGTCTTGCGTCATTCAGACCGCGTTATGTTCGTCGCCCGGCTGACCCACAAACGGCCTGATGGGCTTGAAGGCAGTGCTCCTCGGGGACGGGCATGGAGGGTCTCTCCGAAGGGCTTACACGACCCGTCCTCCTCCTCCTCCTTCTCCTCCTCCTCCTCCTCCTCCTCCTCCCCTGACCTTCCAGAGAGCTATTTTTAGCACTGGAAACCTAACAACCTAAACGAGACGAAACAGCCTAAAACCAAGACGTATAATAGCTCTGGGATAGGTTTTTAAGTCGCGTGCTATTTTTTAGCCCTCCTGGAAGGTCAGGGTCCTACTCCTCCTCCTCCCTCCTCCCTCCTCCTCCCCCTCCCCCTCCTCCTCCACCACCACCTCCTCCTCCTCCTCCTCCTCCTCCTCCTCCTCCTCCTCCTCCTCCTCCTCCTCGGGTCGCCTACGGCCCCGGGGGAACCCGTGCAACCCACAGACGGCCTGATGGGTTTGATGTGAACAGTGCTACTCGGGGACGGGCAGTGATGTGAACAGACATGTTCGGAGGTCTGCGCGGTCTCGGATCGGCGCTGGACTCATCTCGCTGGCGACGCCTCTGGCGCCGATCCAAGAAATCCGCGCGGACTCCCGAGAATTTATGGCGTAGCAGGGTCTTGCAATGCCCACCCCGATGGGCCCCTTCTAGACCCGACCGTTCTCTATGTCAGGCATCGAAGAACCTGAACTTGACATCGCTCGGACGTGTGCATTTTTGTTTTGCGGTGAGGACCATTGAGGAGCATCCTGGATCATCCGGCACAAGGCGCGCGCACG